GAAGGTTTAAAGAAGGTAAAGACTCTGCTTACCCCTTCGGGGATAATAGACGTGATCTTATGTATGTCTGTATGTATTATTATTATATGGTATTTTCAAAACCCAGTAATACTTTACCCGACCCGGGAATCGAACCCGAGACCCCTTGCCCGGGGCAGTCGCATTTACGACCACTCGGCCAAAGAGGTAGGCAGGCAGTTAGTTTAAAGTTTAATCCATACAGTTTAATATATACAGTTTTACCACAGAAAATAATATCTGTGAGTTTTATAGTCATTCGTGTGTCGAACTTTATTTTTACGCCCCTGAGAACCTAGTAAGACAATTTTAGGATTATTAAACCACTTTTTTTCTCAACAGCTGACGCTGACATCGAAAAGGCCCTGTCAGCGGGAAGAATTCTACGGTTCTATCAGAGGAATGACAATAAAAACCAAGGCAAACACAACCCCACTACAACCACAATAAAGCCCGAAGTACATTATCCTCCTCCCATGGGGAGTAATGAAACAACAGTTTCAATTAACTCGTCGAGTACCGTCATTATAGACACAATTATAGAACAATAGGTTGCGGTCACCGGTGACCGCTTGGTGTTTGACAGTTTAAAACCAATCAACAGATTAATGAATAATCTTAAAGTTTACCAACATTTTACCTGGCGAACGGGCATATCCTTACTAATATTATAATTCGGAAAGTGAGTATGTTTGTTTGTTCCGCATTCACGCCGTAACTACTAAACCGATTGCTTTGAATTTTTGCAGACGTAAAGTTGGAAGTCCGGATTAAATAATAGGGTTAATTTTATCCCGGAAAAATTTGATATTCCCAAGGGAAAACAAAAGTATTGGTATAGATGGCGCTGTGTGTATTGGTATATGTCGCATAGGCTACTTTTTATCCTTTTGTGACGCGAGCGAAGCCGCGGGTTAAAGCTAGTAGTTTAATATAATTATGGAGATTAGTTACAGTGTTTTTTTAAGTATCTAATAACAGTGAGGCCCCACATGTCCGTTGTGTCGTTGTTACGTCGCTTTTTACATAATTATATGTTTACCTACTAGCTGTTACCCGCGACTTCGTTCGAGTAAAATTATTCGTATTTCTTGTTAATTTTTACTTGTTTGACGCGACAACGTGTTGATTGGCGAGGCGTATTTGAGAGCTAGTATGAAACGGAACGTTTATTGTCTACTCAAGATGGCGACTGCGGTTTGTCGGTCAGTGTCATTAAAATTAATTAATAAAACAAAATAATCTCCGCAAACCGAATTTTGCGGCTATATGTTATCGACTCGAAATCAATATTTTTTTATGTTTTGTTATTCAGTTAATGTTTCGATCGAATCTACCGTACCCCTTGACGAAATTATAAATACAAAAATATAGAGATAGCTACTCCCACGGGGTTTCATCCACTCTGTTGCCTCCAATGGATCGTAGCGGGAAATTTTATAGCCTATAACCTTCCTCGATAAATTGGTTATCCAGTATCTAGGACAAATCGTTTTTTTTCAAATCGGACCAGTAGTTTCGAAGATCATCATCAACAGCCTATAAATGCCCACTGCTGAGCAAAGCCTCTTCTCACACGGAGAAGGTTAGAGCATTAATCACCATGCTCAATGCGGGTTGGCGATTTCAAACTTATAATTAGAAATTATAAGTTCAGGTTTCCTCACGATGTTTTTCCTTCACCGTTTGTCAGTGGTGTCTAAGTAATCTTAAAAAGTACATATAACTCGGAAAAAGTCACTTTGGTACTTGCCGTTGATAGGTTTCGAACCCGCACCCTCATGCATGAGAAGTGGGCGTCTTAAACCTCCGGGCCACCACGACATTCAAAAAACATATAAACAAACAAACAAGCATGTTACGTATCTATGCCGACACATGTACCTACACCGTGATCAGTGGCGTGTCACCAGGCCCAGATCTGCTGAATCAGGACATTACACCTACTTTGATGCAACGAAGGTTCTACGGAGTCTTGCAACATTCGAACTGCTGAGTCGTCTCCTCTTGTCGTCGCCTTGTGCCCAGCTACGAATCGCTACATCGTTCACCCCACTAGATTTAACCTCAATAAAACCGTCATACTAATTTTATAATAAAGAATTTTAAGATAAGAAAGCAGTGTTGTTCTAACATCGAACGCATTCGCTCTTAGGTTAGTTAGATTTTAGGAGTTATCATGTAATTTTTTTTTTAAATTTTAATTATAATAAACTTAGTTTAATGATAATAGTTTTCATTTGCACCCTCTGTCAGTGGCAGAAACATAAATAGCAAGCAAGCACGCAAACAGACACAAAAACAAACTAACAATCAGACAGTCAAACAAAGAAATTCTTCAGCTTTATAATAATATTAGTTTATGGTGACATGCCCCATTAGTACGTTGCGTCGTCGCCACGTCTCACCGGATTACATCGTAAGTCGTAGCAACCCTGGTGGAGCCTACAATGCGTTGTTCCGATGCAACAAAAAAGTGGGGCCTCGCTCTTATTTAACGTGTGGCTATTGACTCGACTAACAGTTCAAAATGTTCAGGATAATCAGAGGGCCAAGTGTGGGAGAGCCATGCTTCGCATGGGCCGGCTCGACCGGAGTGATACCACGGCCTCAAAGAAAACCGACATGAAGCAGCAACGCTTGCGTTGTGCGTCGTGTGAGGTTACCGGAGGCCCAATTATCTCCCTCCCCCTTTCTTAATCACTGCAATCCCTGAATCCCCAACAATCCTCAAACTCTTAATCCCTAAAAGGCCGGTAACGAACTTGTAACGCTTCTGGTGTTCTGAGTGTCTATGGCCGACGCCGATTGCTTACCATCAGGTGATCCGCCTGCCCGTTTACCGGCTTATGTCATTAAAAAAGGGCGCTGCTTGCTGTTCTTTTATAATTTGTAGTGTCTAATCCAGTTCTATATGTAGTCCACTTTTTTATTGAAAGGACTGATATTTCAATCAATAGGTAATTCTTATTAACCATATTATGTTTAGTTCTAAATAAATCGTCATAATTATGTATTATTATGATATAATATATGTATGTATATAAAATAATCATAGTTGATTTCTGTTAAGTCATGATAAATAATATAAGTGTAGAAATTAGATGTCCTAAATTAGTTTAAAATGTCAAATCTATTTTTGCCTGTGATAGCTTTCTTAGTTTCTTCGTACTTTCTGTGTCAGTATCTTATGGACTAAAAACCACCCTGTTCTTACTCCTGCACTATAAGCCGGAGCTTCGGTAACCTTTAAGTTCTCCGTGGCTCCGTAAACTGTATAAGGTGTCGCTGAGAACCTAACGGGTAACCGGGGGCTCCGGCTCGACGTGCAGGAGAAGGAACGGGATGGTTTTTAGTCAGTAAGAGTCTGACACTCCCTCCCGCCTCACCTAGGCGGGAGTCGTCAATCGATGATTTTCCCCCCTTAAAAAAAAACTGTATAAGGTCTACATCGCTTATTAGGATTTATTTTTGTATTTTGCTCATATTTTCATCAATAAAGATAAAGATCAAATATTACTACAATACAAATTGACAATAACAATTGACAGTTAAATTGTCAAATGTTCAAAGTTGTTATTCTGATAAAATTTAACTGACGTTTGAAAAACTTGGCCCAAGGTAATTTCAACCTATTTACTTTTCTATTGTAGGTAAGTTATAAATATTATGATTTAAATAATGGCATCGCATTGGTTTGCAAATGATAAAGAGTGGGAATTCAAACAGCTGAGATATAAAAACAGTTTATTTATTTCATTAATAGAAAATATCAACTTATTTGGAATAGTATAAAATTTTAACAATAAGTATATACTTTTATGTTATCAATAAACTAATAAATAAAGTATTCCTAACATAACATCACGCTTATAAATTTATCTCTAAAGGTACACATTAATATTCCAGATTGCCTTATTAGTCAAGCGATTGCAATTGCAACTGCCGATGAGTCTTAGGTTAGATCCTCAGGTCGGGTAAAAGTTTATGGGATGATTTAGCGTGGGCTGGCTTTGCACAAGTCGGAAGAACGATATCATCAGGATCGCGAAGAGCCGATGGATGCAAGTACCGAGTTGTCGTTCGACGTGGAGGCCTAAGGCTTTTGTTCAGCAGTGGACTTTTTATATATTTGATGGGCCGACGTTTGACCACTATCTCGCCTGTTGGTAAGCGTTGTACGATGGAGCACGTCATACTATAGCAATCTATCCACTCGGGCTTTGAAGACACTTAGGTTTATACCCTTCAGGAAATACAGACTTTGGCAAAGAATTCCACTTCTTAGCAGCACAAGGAAGCTTGATGCGAAGCGCTTCGTGCCATGAATCGGTGACGCTTCGCAATTGTCTTGTGGTACGATGATGGAAATAATGATGATGATGCTGAGATTTAGGCTTCCCCCATTTGTGTCCCATTGTGTCTTAGGCTAAAGTCATTCTGTCTCCCGAATAAAATTCACCGAGGGAAGGGCAAACTGACTATTTTATCTACAATACTATTTATTTCTTCAGCTCTAATAAGTCATTCTGTCTCCTGAGAGAAGTAGAAAATTATCCGGTTTCCCTTCTCCTCTAATAATATTTATTATTTCGTTGCGAGATCCAAGACAGGTTATTTATGTCCCTGGAGCGCACCGGACTTCAGTGTTCCGGTATTTGCATAGTTGTACCTACTGCAGATCATGGCTTACAGGAGTTGCCTAACTAAACTAACTAACTAAAGCCTCCCAAAAGGGAGGCTTTAGTGGTGTCCCAAAATAAATGATGGTGATGATTTACGGATACGAACTAAGAATCAGTCTTTTTGTTCAGAATTAGATGAAGATGTACTCGTTTCAGGTGGATGCGTATTATACTGGTGCATCAGGTAATCAGTGACTCTTGCCAAGAAGTATTTCAGCGGAGTATAACACATACGCCAGCATTCGTTTATGGAATCGAACCTGTTGTCATTCCCTCCGCAGCCTTCATAGACGAATTCTTCACATTTCATCGTTTCGTTGTTGAATCCGTAGCTGTAACAAGAGGCATTTTCGTGAGTTACATGTCAATGGTATTTTTTTATAATGTTACATATTACCTCTAATTCCCCACGGACTCTTGGTCCTTGCCCTTGTGATACATATAAAGTAGGTACCTAGTTACACCTTACAATTAACCATATCTATAATTATTACTAAAAGTATACATTACATAATAATTACCTATGATCTATTTATATCTATTTCTATGGCTCTACGAAATCAGCTCACCAACAAGATGGGAGAGCCGACCTGACCCAGCAGAAGGTACCTATTCACGAGTATGACGTGTGTCAGCAATTGGTCCGGTCAACTTTTTTATTGGAAATGGAATAATCCAACACACAGCGACTGTAGGACATTTATGTGTGCATGACGCCTCAACCCTTGCTACGTTGGCCGATTCCAATAAAGCTTACAATAGTCCAAAGTCAATGGTGTTTGATGTAATCATAGTACTGTGGCATTTCTTTTATGACATAAGCCGGTAAACGAGCAGACGGATCACCTGATGGTAAGTAATCGGCGTCGCTCATTGACACCTGGAACACCAGAGGTGTTACAAGTGCGTTACCGGCCTTTTGGGGATTAGGAGTTTGAGGATCGTTGGGGATTTAAGAATTGGGGAGATTGGGGAAGGGGAGGGTAATTGGGCATCCGGTAGCCTCACACGACGAAACATAACGCAAGCGTTGCTTCACGTCGGTTTTCTGTGAGGACGTGGTATCACTCCGGTCGAGTCGGCCCAATTGTGCCGAAGCATGGCTCTCCCACACTTAGAATAATGTCTATAGGGGCAGAAATGCACATTTTGGAGCCTCTAGCGTATTTTCTTTTTATTTCCTGATAAATATTTTCTGATACCAGCATTTTATTAATTGGTAACGTATGTCGTGTGAAAGGCAATTAGGTTACCTTTAAAATGAGAGCAATTTTTTGTAAATGGAAAATATGTTTTTTTATAGTTATAAAGGGTTCGATAATATGAAAATAATGATAGTGGCTCCATTTCTCTGCTCTTAAGTGTAGTTCATTTTACTTACTAAATAGTTGAATTTTCTGGTTCTTCACTCATACTGTCTCCTCCGCAGTCACCTTCATCAATTTCTAAGGTACAGATATTCAGTTTTGGCTTGTGACCTGATGAAAAACACCATAGAATAGATCAATAACATATAATTTGTAGTTTACTATGTTATTTTCACTGCCGCTTTTTTGAGGGAGGAAAATTAGCAAGCGTCTCCTTCCACTTTGTCTGGGTGAGGCGAGAGGAAGTGTTAGACTCCTACTGACTAAAAACCACAACGTTCCTATTCCTGCACTTCGAGCCGGAGTCCCGGCAACCTGTTAAGCCCTCCACAGCTCCGTATCAGCATCAGCCCTACTTTGCCCCATCTGTGGTGGTCTAATGGCTCTTTGAGCTACGTTCGGGTTAATTAGGTTATTTTGTAACTGTCAATTCGAACTTTTGGAGTGACCTTGATCGCATTTTCGCATGTCATCGGTCGAGATTCTCACAATCAATGACATGGATGAAAGACCACAAGCATGTTTACTTTGGTGTTTCGAATTAAAATATATAAATATAGTCTAGCTGGTTCTGGGACGCGTCGGACTTCAGTGTTCCGGTGTTTTCATGGTTGTATCTACTGTAGATCCTGGCTTACAGGAGTTGCAGCGGTTTTGGGAGGTTGTGGCAAAAATAGTTGGTTCTGGTCGAGCAAGTACGGGTAGCTCGCCGTTCACAGGCTTGTGCTTACGGTGGCCGGAGATCAACTTGCTAAAACATTAAGATCGTAGCCAACTCTTATTCTTGTAATAGAGGAGGCCAACAGTCCAAAGGACTGTCATGCACTATTAATGTTGAGACTGTTTACCTTTAATGACATTTTGTTTGAGATTTACACAATGTAATGACTGCTTTGGATGTTTAATATATTAATAATATTCGTTTATTTCTCTCATCACCATTTATACAATAATGTACCTACAGCAAACAATTTTACAATTAAACCTGAGACTGATTTCTATTGAAACCTGTATCACAGATCACCAGGTCAACACACTCACGCGATACAATTATTTACTGAGTTGCATAAATTAATTATATTTATGTGAAATTGATGAACATACCTGAAGAAACCTTCTTCTTTTTGCACTCCGACCCGACTATAAACAAAATCACGAACAAAACAATCCAGGAACTCATTTTTATAACACTCATTTTTGCTGTCACTAATTGGTGGTTCATAAATAAAATTAATGGAAAATAAATTTATGTTTAGTTATTTATGGTTGATTGATTTTGATTATTTATTATTTATTTGCGATTTATTTCTTTTTTGTTTATAATGTCTGATGAATTTAAGTAGATTTTCTATTACACTTTGCACGTGTGTTCTTTCATTGTGATTATTTTCTTCTATTTGAATTTGCTTGCTCTTAACCTCAGGTACAGCGTGTTCTATTATTGCCAACACAATATGACTTTGTCATGGCAGATTTTAGAGGTGTTTCACAAAACTTATTATGTATAAATTAAAATTACAATCGCGTCAAGATTTGGGCTTGGAAATTTCATTCCATTCACCTTTATCGAGATTAATTTCGGTCGAAAAAGGAGTAAGATCTCGCGAGATTAATGAGATTGCTTCACTGAAGGATTTTTGTTTTGTATTAAAAGAGAAGACAATTATTATTTCGTAGTATCGTATTAACTTCAAAGTAGAATTAATTAAAAGAACTAGCATCTGCCTCCAACTTAGTCCGCGTAACTTTAAATATTTTTTTTTGTGAAAAATATCGTGAAGATAAATGTGTACCTAGATATATTATAATTTTTTCTTAATATATTCATAAAATGTTAAAAAAAAACCATCTTATAAAACTGCCAATCTTGCGAATCTCGTAATTGGCGAAATTGTATTTTATAATCTCGCGAGATCTCGTAATTGGCGAGAATGTATTTCATAATTTCGCGAAATTGGCGAGAGTATTTTATAATACTGGACTGCCTCATTGGCCGAGTGGTCGCAAGTGCGACTGCCGGGCAAGGAGTCTCGGGTTCGATTCCCGGGTCGGGCAAATTATTACTGGGTTTGTAAAAACCTCAGTAGTAGCACGGAGTTTGGAAATGTGCCCGGTATATGGCAATAGGCTCACCCCCTATTACATGGGACTAATAACATAAATAGTGAAAAGTGGGTGTTACATTGTACAGTGGCATTAAGTGCCGTAATGTGCACCTCTGCCTACCCCTTCGGGGATAAAAGGCGTGATGCTATATTATTATTATTATTTTATAATAATTTTATAAGACCTTGCTTGACTCCCCGTATTCTTGCCAGTTTTGCATTCTCAATTAAAAATTAAAATACCTTGTTATCATTTGAGAACACGCCGTATAAATTGTTTTCACGACCATTGTTCCACTTTACTATTTGTTTGTAACAACTTCTAAAACAAAGTCTGAGAGTTTCTGAAGTGAGTTCATTCATTTAATTTCACGGAAACATTTATACGTCCTTACATTTTTATCGATTTATCTTATACTAGCAGCCCGTCCCGGCTTTGCACGGGGTAGACAATTATTTATTTTTGGAATTTTGGATTGTTGTAGTGACATAACTACAATAGTTGCACATATGCTACCGCGGAGTTTTTTGTAGACATTATGATGTTCTTCAATTTTGTTGTACATTATTTTGTTCTATCGCTAATAGTTTCGGCAGCGCATTCGACGAAAGACATTTTGAGACTCATTTTTCTACACCTTCGGTTATATTGTTCAAATTTTACCAAGGATCCCTAATTTTATTCAAAATAAAATGTAGCCTATGTCAAATTGGAAGAATGTAGCATTCTATTGGTGAAAGATTTTTTTAAATTGGCCCAGTACTTTTTGAGCCTATTCATTACAAACTTACAAAAATAGGTACAAATCTTTCCTCTTTATAATATTAGTATAGACTAGCTACTTCCAAAGCACTGTAACTAACTAGTTCTCAGTAATAGCACGGAGTCTGAAATTGTGCCCGGTATATGGCAATATTCACTCCCTATTACATGGGGCTCATAACATAAATAATGAAAAGTGGGTGTTACATTGTACAGTGGCATTAAGTGCCGTAATGTGCACCCCTGCCTACTCCTTCGGGCATAAAAGGCGTGATGTTATGTTATAATATGTAGCTACTCGGGGGTCGTATTATCTTTAAGGAAAAGTAGGAAAGTGCTAGGGCGACAGGTTATAGAGGGATACCGCGAGTCATGCTTGCCTGGGGGCTTACTCTTGAATCCAATTGCAATCGATCGACATTGGTATTGTGAAATTTCGTACTCTTGAGTTGCAACACTAGCGCCCATTGTATCGGTATTGCGAGGATATTGAATGAACTAAATGAAGCCCAAAGCATTCTTTAAAAAAAATATTCGATCGATGTACAGTTTTCAGTTTCCTACGATTTTATTATATGTAGGTATGTAATAGCTGAGCCCGCAACTTCGTATGCGTGAAATAGTGATTCGCAGCTCCTCCCCCGTAGTTGGCATGATAATATGTAGCCTACATGTTGACCCGACTTGTTAGTAATATTCATTCAAAATTTGAAGAAAATCCATGCAGCACTTTTTGAGTTCATCCCGGACATACATACAGACAAACAGACAAAAAATTATAAAAACCATATTTTTGGTTTCGGTATCAACTGTAGATCAAGCCCAAAGTATTCTTTTAAAAAAATACGATTTTATTATATGGAATAGATAGATGTATAGATAAGTAATAAGTATAAGTACTTATAATATTTTTTTTTAAGGAGGGAAAATAATCTTAATCTATATTCTATATATATATATATATATATATATTGTTAAGTTATAAATTGTATAGATATATTTATAGAGTATTGTATACTCTTTGGTATTGTTTATGGTTTGCAAGGTGTTGTTTTCTTTTTCTGATTTTTGTTTTGTAGTCTATGGTCTGATTGTCTTTTGGTTCTCTGTCAAGAAATAAAAGTGTTCCATTATATCATCGAATTCTTATTTAATCCGGAAATATTAGTAAAATCCCAATAGGTTATGGGCCCAGATACGTAATTTTAACCGGATTAAATAAAGAGCAACGTAAACTTATAGCAAAATTATTACTATAAGTAAATGAAAATTGTGAATTGTCGGCCTCACGATGGAAGTTTCGAATTCAATGAGAATTGAAAAGTTTAACGGCAAAGAATTCAGGCAATGGAAGTTTCAAATTAAATGTGCCTTAAGAGCAAAAGGTTTGAATATAGATGTAGCTAGACCCACAACGGGTGATATTAGTCAGTGGGAGAAAAACGATGGTATGGCCATGTTTATTATAACCTCATCTATGGAGTTGAATCAAATTTCACTAATTGAAAATTGTGCATCGGCTAAAGAGATAATGTTAAAGTTAGAATCGATTTATGAGCAAAAATCAGAACTCAATAAAATGATTGTGCATGAGAAGTTTTACCAATATAAAATGTCGTCAACTGACAATATCGCACTACATATTTCCAAAGTGGAGAGTTTGGCTAAACAATTAAAAGAAAGTGGTGAAAAAATAAGTGACACAGCTATAATGACCAAGATATTAAGTACATTACCATCCAAATATCGTTCTCTACGTCAAGCATGGTTGTCATTAGACCCGCAGCAGCAAACTATACAAAACCTAACTGCGAGGTTACTAGACGAGGAAGCCAGTTTAACGAATGAAGAAGAATCTGAGAGTGCTTTGGTAGCTGTGAAAAATAGAAAGCAAAACAAGTCCCAAAATGACAACAAAAGTTCAACATCGGCCCAACATAGTCGGCACAGATTTATATGTTATAATTGTAACAAAAGAGGGCACTTCGCAAGAGAATGTCGAGCCCCAAAGAAGTCTGAGAGGGTTTCCTTTCAAGAGCAAAAGCCGATAGCATTCAATACGGAACAATGTTTGCAATCTGAAGCCGATAGAAATATATGGATTCTTGACAGCGGTGCATCTGCACACATGTCTTATAGACATGATTATTTCTGTGAACTTCAAGAATATGGACCTAATAGTGTTGACAGAACGGTGAGATTGGGAAACAAGAAGGAACTTATGGTAAAAGGTCATGGAAATATTTTAATTAATAGATGTGTGAATGGAAAGTGGGAACAAGGCATTATAGAGGATGTACTTTATGTACCAGATTTGCACAGAAATTTGTTTTCAGAGGGTACAGTAACAAGAAAAGGATATGTTATTATTAAGAAATATAATGAAGCCTTAATATTAAAAAACAATGTTGTGGTTATGAGTGCAACATTGAATGAAAACAACCTTTATGAAATAAATATTAAAACTAAAGTACAAATAAATTGTAATTTAGTACAATCAAGTTTAAAAATCTGGCATGAGCGTCTTGGACATTTGAATATTAAGGAAGTGCAAAATATGAGCAAAAATGGCGCAATTCCTGTGACTGTAACTGATGATGATAACTTTATATGTGAGGCATGTCACTATGGTAAACAAAGCCGTCTACCTTTTCATAAATCTAACAGAGGACAATGTGAAGCTGGTGATTTAACCTATAGTGATGTGTGCGGCCCCATGGAACATGCATCAGTATCAGGGGCAAGATATTTTGTCTTATTTAAAGATGGAGCAACCAGTTACAGACATGTATTTATTATGAAACACAAGAGTGATGTGTTTGATAACTTTAAGAAATATAATGCTATAGTTAAGAATCAATTTGGCCATGGAATTCGTATATTGCACACAGACAATGGACGTGAGTATGTCAATCACGAATTTAGAACTTACTTAGAAAATGAAGGAATTACTCATGAACGTACAGCACCATATACACCTGAACAAAATGGGAGAGTCGAGAGAGAAATGCGAACAACAATGGAAAGCGTCAGAGCTATGTTGTACTCTCGTGATATCTCATTAAACCTTTGGGCTGAAGCAGTGAACTGTTCAATCTATTTATTGAATAGAAGTTCTTCTACACAAACGAAAAACATGTCGCCATATGAACTGTGGCATGGAAGAAAACCTACCCTTGAACATATAAGAATTTTTGGTTCAGAAGGTTATGTCCATATACCTGATGAACGAAGAAGAAAGCTAGATAAGAAGAGTGAGAAACTAATACTGGTGGGGTATGAAAATGACAATTATAGAATGTATGACAGTAAAACTGGGAAGATAAC